TTTTCCAAAGAGGCTTTTCCGAAATTTGGCCCATCTACACAGGACCAAATTTCAGAAAAACCACCTCTTTCGGAACATCCCTTATTCCTGTCACTGAGAGGAACACAGGAATGCTGAAAGAACACACCCGTTTTTTTGGAAACTGTTCTGAAAAAGTGGACATGTTCCCTGGATGCAGCGGAAAATTCTGCACTCTAGACATAGCCCCGGTGTCAAAAAAGTTCTCCTACCTTTACCAAGACCAATTCTTCCTTGTTTAGCTTTTGTTTCAGACTGTTAATTTTTTTATATTTAGATGTAAACACCCTGCATTATAATTCAGACAGGATATCATCTCTGAAATCAGTAGACAACTTCTAAATGTGCAACAGTATGGAGTGAGAGCTTATTACTGTCTCCTATTCTATACAATTTGCTATTGTATCCAATATGTAATAAAGTTCACAATTCTCAGATTAAAAGGTTTCCTGTTTCAAATGTTAATCCCATGGATAAAATTAAGTTCCACTACTCAGAATGTTAAGTAACCATTTCTTTTAACTATTTCATTTTATATCAGATGAAGAAGCTTTGATTGCCACCATGTAAGGTAGAATCTATAGTTACCTGCCTCAGAAGCTGGTTACGTGTCCCAATGGGGATTGCAGCAGATATCAGTCCCCTGTGGCCATTATGCTCTTAACTCAGAGAAAAACACTTCCTCCAACAATTCACGTTGTGTCTTTTCAGAACCATAATAAGATGACCATCTTCATACTAATCTGTCAAAAGAAAAAACCCAAACACTCATCTAGGCCTGCAACACAAACATCTGAGTGTAGCCACGAAGAGAAGGAAAACATACTTTCACTAGCAGCACAAAGCTAGAAAATACACATGTGCAACCACTGTTAATTTTCACTTGAAAAAGAAATCATAAATCTTTTATTTAGAAAAGTCCCCAGTGATACGAAGTGCTATCCACACAGTAGAAACCATCTTCATAGTCTGAGAGGACACAAGGTGAAAGCTGCATAGGAACCATATAAACTCGGTTAATACAACTCGCAGATTCTGATTTCCTAGCAATATACTATAAACTGTGTCATGTTAAATTTGATGGCATACCTAGGCCCAGAGAATCAAAAGAGTTAACATGAGACTCTCTCTCTCAAACACTAAATAGTTAAGTATGGTTTGGAGTTTGAATACTGAGAGTTTAGCCCCATGGCATTTAAAATATTAAAAAAATAAATAAATAAAAAGGGAAAAACTAAATTAAATTATCTGTAACCAACCCTGGAGGATCAAGCCATAAAGGATTCAGTTTGGTTCTATTTCTTACCTTTAAAGTACTAATAGGGAACACATAAATCAGTTTCATAGGAGTCTTGTGTGGTTGGCAGCTATGATTGTGACACTTGCTCTTGAAGTATTCCTGACCTACGTGATTTGATATGCCTTCCCCAAAGTTTCTTTAAGGATGCCAGAAAGGGCTGATGGGCAGAATAAGCAAGCTTATCATTATTTTTTGTCCACTAATTAGGTCTAATTTCGGACACTCCAATTTTGGTCCAATAATTTCCCATTCCCCTTTGCTTATCACTCACAATCCTGACATAGTCCTTGATGGTATCAATAGACCTTTGTTTGGATTCATTCAGTTTGTCTTCAATTTTTGCATACTTTTAAAACCAATTTTATGTAACAGGCAGAGCTGGACTTTTGTTACTTTGGACAATTTAGAGAGCAGCCTCTGCACAGCAACCATCAGGTAGTGCTTCAGGGCATTGGTGCGGTCTCCAGCAACTTGCTGTAAATCACCAGATAATGCATCTCTGCAAAGGAAAGCCGCCTCAGAAGCTTCAAAAAATCCCTTCAGTTTCACAGAAGTTGCACCCTCGTGCTACCCCCATCAACAACTCTGCCTGGAGCAAGAGTTTAAGCTGCCAGTTAGCGGCCAGAGCACTTGTCTCTTATCTAGGCCAACAATGGAACCATGCTCTGCTTTGCCAACTTTGTAAGGATATGTAGACAGCGGTGCTATTTCGGGATACTGGAAGTATACCGAAATAACAATTCCGCATCTTTATATGCGCCCGTTATTTTGAAATGCATTTAGAAATAATAGGCGCACTATTCTGGCATCCCTGTAACCCTTGTTCCACGCGGTTTAAGGGTTAGTGTCTTGTCAGAATAGTGTTTTATTTTGAAATTACCTTGAAATAAGCTGCGCAGTTTGCGTAGTGCAAATTTGTGCAGCTTATTTTGAGATAAAGGTGCAGTGTAGATGCACCCTCAGAGAGCTATGTAGAAAGTGCATCTGACTTTAAAATACTAGCTGCCACTTTGTTGCTGGCAAGAGTAAGTCTCAGGTCTGACACTGGGTTCTCAAAGTACAAAGACATGCTACACAGGTATCTGTCAGACACAAACAGTTTATTTTCTGACAGCTATCAGCTGTGCCCTTAACTAAAACAACTACGATAGGAAAAGCGGCATTCTTACATCCCTTCTGCTAGCTGGGGAACCCCATTTTGGCTGCAGATGAAGTGGGAGATTCTCTCAGCTTCCAAGGTGCCGGTACCCAAAGCCCACCAGTGAGGTCCAAATTGCTGTGCTCTCATGCAGCTTTAAATACAGTGTCTCTGTCTTGTTCTGCAGCTTGGAAATTTCCAGGGGTTACTCATCACTTGTTACAGTATGGCTCAGCTGTACTGCTTGTCCTTTGACTTTGTTTACATGATCAGGACATTTGGGTAAACAGGATTATTATGTTCCCGCCATATCTACAATTCGTTCTTGCTACAATGGTGTATGTTTCTAGAGGCTTGCTTCTGGCTCATAAGTAGTAGGGAAGGGGGGAGAATGGATGCAAAAGGGGGAGGGGAATGCAGGCTTCACCACCCCAATACTTCACACATACAGAGTTCTTCCGCAATTGACTCCTACACACTTAAAGCTTTAAAACACCTTAAGACAAGAATCACCTATTTACTCTCACCATTAGAAGACTTAAAGATGGAGAAAAATACTAAGAGGAAAAAAAATCACTGCTTAACACAACGAGGTACACAGCTTGCAATGTTACCTTGCCCTTTTATTGAACAAACCAGACTCCAGTTACCTCAGATAGTGAAACTTTCATATTCTCCAGTTTTTAGTCAGATTTTTTTTCTAGTGCTGAATTGTTAATCTTTCTTGACAATAGGATTCTAGCTTATTCAGCTGAGTTAGTGTTTCTGCAACATCTCTGATTATCCTTTGGAAATTATACAAACTAAACTCAACAGATTGCCATCCTTATTTAGAAACATTAATTAAAAATCCTTTTCCTTCTAAGATCGTAAGTTGCTTATGCCTTCAAAAAGAAACAAGTTTAGAGCTTCCTGTTTCAATCTGGTGACAGTTCCTTTCCAGATGATGCAGCCATCCTGCATACTGTTTCATTGAGACACAGGAGTTTCTTATATTGGAACCATAAATAAAAAAGTAAACTACATATCACATTCTACAAGCATTTTTATTTAAAAATTAATAACCTCCAAAATGTGGCCCCCGTGGATGAGTCAGGAAAATAAAAACATAAAAGTAGCTAAACAAATCTGTGCTTTAATAAATCCACAACAGATGGCTACTATATTGGCAAGAATGTAGCCATTTAAAGGCTTGTTATCCACTTTATAAACTGCCCAAAGGCATTTATAATCTAAAACTGCTTGCAAGGAAATCAGTGCCCAATACACTCACCTACCATTAGTTTCCACCACTCTTGCCATCAAACACTCTTCAGTCAGTCTTATATTATTAGCCACTGCGGCTGTAAAGAGGATGTTTTAGGCCTTACTTTGTTTTTGAAGAAAACCTTGAAGAACAACCCAGGGTGCAAGGGGTGAATCACTATATACTAGTTAATTGTTTGGGGGCACAATACAGGAAAGATTTTAAATACATGCTTACATTCAATTACATTCAATTGACTTTGACCTCAACAGTCATGGATAAGAGTTAATGAATGGCACAGGAGTCAAATTACAGTTTGACTTTGAGATTTGGAATTAGGCATATTTCTTTTCTCTTTGATTACAGCAGGGATCCCAATATGCAATTTGCTATATGGAATAATGCTGCACAGTAGCACTGACAACAGTGGAAACCTTAAGGGTTTGTGGAAATGCAAACAGAAGTTAGTGTGTAACTGTTTCCTGATAATATGCGTTTTGTAGCTTCTGAGTGTCTTAATATCATTCCTCACTGGCAGCCTTATTGTTGCTTTTATTCACATTTCAGTCAAACAATAATGCTTCTCACAGTTTTACTTCCAATATAGAAGACATGCAAGATATTTGAAGACTAATGAAAATAGTTTTAGATATGAAGACAAAGTTCTCGCCTCAAAAATTCCCACACTAAATAATAATGCTGAGATTTTAAAGCAGCCTAAACAGTTCGGATCACCATCAATTTTAATGGAAATTGGGCATCCAAATCCTGACAGTTTTGAAAATCTTAGCTTCAGCACACAAATACAAGAGAGAACTAAAGCAGTGTGATAAAACAATAATGTTTATGAAGTATGTATCTTGTTAGCTCTGTGATTTTCACTTGCAACTTTTTATTTTTAGTACAGGATTTACATTGTCCCAGTTTAATAGTTTTCTGAGGTGAGGGCTGTTATTGAAAGATGTGTGTTATATGGTGCAGTGAAATTATTTGATTATTCATTACATTTATTGGTGCTCATACATCATCACATAAATATGAGGTTATATAATTATATATCTAAATATATACTACATACTAATCTCTAAAAAAGACATAGCCCTGTGTCCATTTAAAAATTGTCTTCAGGACGGCACATCCTAAACTCAAAACTCTGGTCATCTGAAGAAGTGGGCTGTGCCCACGAAAGTTCGTGATACCATCTACATGTTTTGTTAGTCTATAAAGTGTTTCCAGACCATTTGTTATGTTTTAAGTTCAGCCTGTACAGACTAACTCGGCTACTCCCTGAAGCTTCTGATTTGTATGTGTTTGTTTGTTTGTTTGTAATGATTACAACAGGGTAATCTTTTCAAAAGCACCTGAGTGACTGACTGTTTCTTAGGTTGAAAAGGGGGTCCGGGAGCCTGAGTCATTTAGGTGCTTTTGAAAATCTTGCCCCAGTGTGTAATGCCTGTACATGAGGCCAGAAGGAGACCCAAAGAATTGCATCTTGTACAAATAAATACAAAGCAAAAGTATTTTATTGGGTAAATACCTTATTAGAAAAGATTAATTGAAAGATTTCATTTCACAAACACTTACATGAGACTAACCACACTATATCAAAATTCTGGCTGTTTCTCTGGAACTCCATTACTGTCTCTTTGTAAAATCTTCTCTGTTGGTCCAGCTTTTTACTTAATTATAAACTGGACACCTTTGCTAATTTCTTCACAACCATAAGAAGGCTTGTGAGTTAGCTTACTTCTGGAACAGGTAGTTTTCCAGCGGGCATATCCTATGTTGAGTGATGGAATCTACAGAAAATCAAGAAGTAGTATGTTATATACAAGCATACTAGAGTGAACAAATAACAAATAGGTTCTTATTAAAAAGGAAATATATAAACACAATATAAGCCATTAACAAAATAATCAATTCAGGAGACTAAATTTCTGTTATAAAGTGGCTCAGAGGAGCTGAGAATATAGTGATTGAAAAGGACCACAAAGATATATGCTAACTGCGTACACATCTAATCTGTTTTTATTAAAGCATACATTCTGTTCTACATATCCAATGGCAGCTGTTTGCTATTGAATAAATTAATCCCCAAATCAATCACATAATTGATGCTGAGACACACGAAATGAAATGCATTTTTTTTAAATGATGCTGTGTGGAGCAGAATGTATAAAACCAGAAATGTAGCTAGATTGCGTAAAGTAGGAATACATTTTGATAAGAATAAAAACATCAAAATTGCATCAATCCCTAAATTAGAGCTGAGTGATACACGAATGTAGCCATTTGGTTGGATTTGGATTTGTACAAATCTGATATCCCAGATATTTTCAATATTAGATTGGAAGGGACAAATTTTCAAACAGAGCTGTACTCTGCCATTTTTTCTTTAACATGGATGTACGCTCACAATTTATAGATACAAATACCTGCATGCACACTTTAAATATTCTAGGTATTGGTGTGCTAATTTAAGCATAGAAACTTGAAAATGTGCGCCTATTGGAACTAATTCATGATTGGATTGATTAATGTAGGATTTGAGGTCAGCTCATTATAAAGATATAGCTCTTTTGCAAATCTGAGAGCCTAGTTTGGATGTTGATAGCCTTTCTTGCAAGTTTCAGTAGTGTTTGGATTCAGAGATTTAGTTCAGGCTAACCCTAAAACACTAGACAGGTGAATTAGGATAGGAGAGTAATTACTTCATTACTGCTAGGCATGGCAGAATTCATTTTTTTAAAATAAACAGACTATATCAATGTTTATTTGAAGCATTTTTCAGTTTTTTTTACTTTTATCAGCTTGAATTTTTACAGTTGCCATAATTTTTGGGTTTAAACTTTTTGCTTATATAGTTTTACATTTTTATGGTTGTGGGAGATTATAGGGTGGCAAATCTAATGACTGTAGATTTAGAAATTGAAAATATTAGTTTTATAGCTATTTAAAACACAGATGTCCAAATATATAAAGGACATAATCTTAAATCAAATTAAGTTCTTAAACAGCCCTTCTCATGCTTTGCCTATATGTTCATGTCAATCATCATTGATGGGAATTTTTTCCTACCGTTAACATGTACAGTGAAATGTATGTTTACCAACATTTATTGACAAAAATCTTTCTTTACCTGTGTGGTTGCTTGCAGTTCCCGTTGATCATGGATCGCTGTTCCTGGCCAATGGGAGCTGCGAGAAGTGGTACAGACCAGGGCGCCACTTCCTGCAATTCTCTTTGATCAGGAACTACAATCCATGGCTAATGGGAGCTGGAAGTGCCTGTGCCTTTGGTCATGCAGGTAAATACAGCGGTGATGGCCCACCAGGGACTAATCCTGGTGAACTGCATTCAGCATGTGGGCCGGTTATTTCCTGCCACTGCCCTAGCAAGATGAAGGGGAATCTTTTAAGTGGCAGCTAATTTCAGCTGAGTGCTTTTCACTGAGCTCCCCCCCAACTCTCACAGAAAGATACAAAGGGACAATATGCATCCGATGAAAGGCAAGCAAAGCATTGCATAGAAGATATGCATAGTTTAACATATTGAGCAGGACACTTAGGCTACGTCTACATTGGCATGATCTTGCGCAAATACTCTTTAAGGCAAGAGTTCTTACATTAAAGTATTTGCGCAAGAGAGCGTCTACACTGGCATGTGCCTTTGAGCAAGAGATGTGCTTTTGCACAAGAGCATCCGTGCCAGTGTAGACGCTCTCTTGAGCAAGAAAGCTCCGATGGCAACCTCTTCCGGTTGCACAAGAGGGCTTATTCCTGAGCGGGAGCATCATAGTTCTTGCACAAGAAGCACTGAGTTCACACATTAGAACCTCAGTGTTCTTGCACAAGAACTCCCCGCCAGTGTAGACAGGCAGCATGTTTTTGCGCAAAAGCGGCCGCTTTGGCGCAAGATCGCGCCAATGTAGACGTAGCCTTAGCGTGCGCCTAGACTACATTCCTTTTTCGGTAAAGGAAGGTAAATTAGGCACGTCGATATTGCAAATGAAGCTGGGATTTGAATTTCCCACGCTTCGTTTGCATAATGGCAGCCACTGCTTTTTTTTTTTTTTTTTTTTTAAATGGGGCTTTTTTGAAAAAAAGAAAAGGCAGTTTAGATGGGGATCTTTCAAAAACAAAACCCTTTTTTGAAAGATCCTGTATTCCTCAAAAAAATGAGGTTTACAGGATCTTTCGAAAAGAATTTACAATATAAATGGACAACAGGATAGAGAATTTCTGTCACAGAGCATGGTTTCACTGTCCCCCTTAGTTCTATGGAAGATTCAAGACTGGGGCAGGAAAGGCTACACAGTGCACCATGGAACATATACATGTAATTCAGAATTGTGTGTGTATGATATATTTTGACAGATGGGCTAAAGCTGCCTAAGTCTGTCTCTGTATACTTTCTTGATGACACTTAGTATTGATATGCCAGAGCTTCCTTTATAGGTGTAGATTTACCAAGTCGGATGTGCTAGTATACTGTAAGGACTCTTTCCAGAGGTTGATGTTCTAAGACTGAGGACTCGGCTCACATCCTTTCATGGTGCCAATGAATCTTGTAACTAACATACATATTTTGACTTTTAAAATGACATTTTCTGGCTATGAGGTAAAGGAAACTTCTCACCTCTAGAGCCCCTGATCTCTATACAGGTATATAAATTTTTAAAATCATGTGCCAATATAGATCTTTTATTAAAAATTGTTTGGAACATGAAAATTAAAAAAAAAACCACATACCAGAAGTCAGATGTTTAAAATGGAAGAATGCAGTTAATAAGGAAATCATGACGAGGCTATAAAGTTTTGGCAAGAACTATTGCATTAATTTCTCCATCAGAATTTAATATAGTAGTATGCTGTAATACTCAAAAGAGGTACCAGAGAAATAGTGGAACTTTGGACTAAAAATATGGACCAAAACAAAAATACCTTCCACCACTATTGGTACATCAACTCCAGTTACACAATTGTTGTAGCTGGAATTGCGTATCTTACATTGATTTTCTCCATCAGTGTGAACCTGGCCTCAGACTTTGCAACATTATGATCAGACTGATTTATTCAACATCTAGCAAGGACTGCCCTTTGTCTCTCATAAACTTGGTTCATACTCTACTATCTGAAAACATTAGCATCTGTTGTAAAGCAGAAAGTAAAGTTAGTTTATTAACAAAACTTATTCAAAACACAAATATCTTATTTTCTTGTATTGGATTATGCAAAAAGAACCTTTTTATGGGGTGAGGTGGGCGAGAGAGGGGAAAGACTTATCATGCTCTCCCATCTCAGGCCAATCAGAGGGGGAGGGGAAGCACAAGAAGTCTCCTGGCCCCTTCTACCGAAGGCCTTATCCCTTCTGGGCCAGAAATTTCTGAAATGGCCCCCTTTTAAAAATTATTGCCCACCTCTGGTGTAGACAGATGCTAAGCACATTTGTTAGTATTATTTGGGTTGATATTAAATTTCTTACCTAATATCCATTTTTCTGATAAATATTTTATTTCAGGTTGCTTCTTTCCCATATATTCTCCAATATAGATTTTGGCCTGACGCAGGGTTTTACATACTTTTCCTCCACACAACTGTATAAGTTCACTTAGCCTGTCACATGGTGGTTGACTGGTAAGAGATATAAACATTACAGGCTGGCTTGAAAGGAGGTTCTGCTGATACTTTCCTGATGATAGGTGGCGTTGAAGTCTGCAGATCTGTTTTTAAAGGAAATAACGAAATTAGGACCTAACATGTTTCAATTTTATTTATAAGAAGCAAGGGACGCTAGTCTTTGCATTTAGAAAAAGAATCATGGAATCTTAAAGCAATGCTTTACACAATCCCAAATAAAATGTTGGTTCAGAAACTCTTGGGCAAGTTGCACCAAAGCTATCACTAGCTATTTATTTTTCCATTTATTGCTTTTTTTGGCTTGATACAAAACCCAAAATATTTATGTGCCTCTTATTTGATTTCCATAATCTAGCCGGGTATTTATTCAATGTTCACTCAGTAGTCTCTTATTGTAAGTGAATTTTGCAATGTGGTATATAGCACTGTGGATTATGCTGCTATTCTGCTATTTCTTTAAGTTAGAGCCTCTAGGAATACAGAGTTGTCAGTCCCCGTAATACACGAGGTTCGAAGGGATGCCGGAAAGGATGAGACTACAACTGGGGGTTTCAAAAAGCACAAACTGATTTTATTTTGATGGCGCCAGACAATCATCAGAACAAAAATTAAACAGATTGCCAGACAACACAAAACAATTCCCTGAGGCTTTTCTAAATCACAATAATTCCCAATAACTGCCCAGGGGTTAGGAACAGTTGAATTAACACTGGTATTATCCATAGGGCTGACTATTTACACAACTTTATACAAGGAAACAGTAAAAAACCTAAACCACAACTATTTATAAACTAACTTAGTAACTTTTTAGCCACTGTCACTTGGCAAGCAATAAGGACAACTAAAAAATCAATTAGGATAGGGATGATGGTGGGGAAGCACATTTGTTAGTATTATTTGGGTTGATATTAAATTTCTTACCTAATATCCATTTTTCTGATAAATATTTTATTTCAGGTTGCTTCTTTCCCATATATTCTCCAATATAGATTTTGGCCTGACGCAGGGTTTTACATACTTTTCCTCCACACAACTGTATAAGTTCACTTAGCCTGTCACATGGTGGTTGACTGGTAAGAGATATAAACATTACAGGCTGGCTTGAAAGGAGGTTCTGCTGATACTTTCCTGATGATAGGTGGCGTTGAAGTCTGCAGATCTGTTTTTAAAGGAAATAACGAAATTAGGACCTAACATGTTTCAATTTTATTTATAAGAAGCAAGGGACGCTAGTCTTTGCATTTAGAAAAAGAATCATGGAATCTTAAAGCAATGCTTTACACAATCCCAAATAAAATGTTGGTTCAGAAACTCTTGGGCAAGTTGCACCAAAGCTATCACTAGCTATTTATTTTTCCATTTATTGCTTTTTTTGGCTTGATACAAAACCCAAAATATTTATGTGCCTCTTATTTGATTTCCATAATCTAGCCGGGTATTTATTCAATGTTCACTCAGTAGTCTCTTATTGTAAGTGAATTTTGCAATGTGGTATATAGCACTGTGGATTATGCTGCTATTCTGCTATTTCTTTAAGTTAGAGCCTCTAGGAATACAGAGTAAGACAAAAGGTAGTGACCATACACACATTCACAAGTTCAAGGTTTAGACTTTTTTACAAATTGTATTAAAGTTACAATTAAAACTATGATTACTCAATCATATAAAAGTTCTATACAGACAGATATAGTTATACTCACATCCTGAACAACAGTGTTAGGATCTAATGGGTCTCTCATGGCTTGATCATCAGTAGAGAGAGGGTTCCTGCTGGAGTCTCCCAGAGGAAGGCTCAATTTTCCCATTCTGGGTGTCCCTTTTTTATAACGTGATTAGCATTCTACACATGTCCATAAAAATGTCTACCCTCTTTTCTCTTATTGGTCTGTGTCCACTGGAGACTTAAGGGACCCCAATTTTATATGGGCTGGGTTAGCTCCCTTTATTCTCATTAGCACTACGCACAACCTGTAACCCATGGTTAAGACATGTTGGAGACAGATGCACCTTTGCAGTATTTTTATGATGTAAAATTTATCTCCTGGGTAATTTTGTGCAATATTATCACTTGGTATATGTTTCCCATGCCAAAAAAAGTGGGTCATTTATTTTAAGCCACTTCATACATTATCACTGTAACTTACTCAACCTATAGAAAATTGGGTCCCTTAAATTTTCAGTGGACACAGATCAGGCAGAGAAAAGTGGGTAGACACTTTTATAACCTAAAATAGCTAATCTAATGCCTTGCAAGCCTCAACCTACAGGTTCTTGCATTTCAACTTGTCTTACTCATGAATAATCATTAGTTCCTCTAAATACTGATCAATTATATTTTATATTCCTACAGATTTACTAATTAACATACAATGAATATGTAATACAACAATGATTAATCATTGTTTAGTTTAGAAAAGAGAAGATTGAGCGGGGACATGATAGCAGTTTTCAGGTATCTAAAAGGGTGTCATAAGGAGGAGGGAGAAAACTTGTTCATCTTGGCCTCTGAGGATAGAAGTAATGGGCTTAAACTGCAGCAAGGGAGGTTTAGGTTGGACATTAGGAAAAAGTTCCTAACTCTCAGGGTGGTCAAACACTGGAATAAATTGCCCAGGGAGGTTGTGGAATCCCCATCTCTGGAGATATTTAAGAGTAGGTTAGATAAATGTCTATCAGGGATGGTCTAGACAGTATTTGGTCCTGCCATGAGGGCAGAGGACTGGACTCGATGACCTCTTGAGGTCCCTTCCAGTCCTAGTATTCTATGATTCTATAACATCATACAATAAATGGATAACATGTTAAGATTGTAGCTATTTAATGGAGTTTATCTGAATCCCTTATAAATGTATAAATCCTGCAAGTAGTATAAAAGATAAGCACTATCTTTAGTTCTCTCCCTCCCTTACTGCAGCACAGATTGAGGAATTTCTTCGCTTAGTATGTTTAGTATTTTATAGTATTTTTAATTAAAAATAAAGCTAAGTAGATGAGAAGGGTTTTGTGAGAATGGTAGGAAATTTTAGGCCTTGGGGAAAATAATTCTACAACTGTTAACAAGATGCTAAAAACCTTTATCTCTTGCTTCTTCTGTTTATAGATAGATCATGGTACCAAGGAAGCACAGTAAATCTTGGTCACAAATTGAGTCTTTTGAAACAGTCCAGGTTCAAGCCACTGCTTTGACCTTTAAGACCAGGACATTCTAAACTTATATGCCAGTTGATCAGTGAGAGGGCGGATGTCATTGTAGACTAGTTTATTGAAGAATCTTCCTCATGCCAGCTGCGCCTCTTCAGCCTAGTCCAGATTTAACAGCATACACAAACAGGTAATCTAGGCATGCCAAACCAATCTGATATTTTCTGTCCCTCTTTTCCTTGCTGAAAGCTTGGTGAACTGGCTCTTGGGCAGTAAACAATGAGAATTACAACTGACAATATAAAAGAGGAGATTTGTAGGCAAAAATAAGTGTGGACACAAAAGTAACTGCAATATTGTTGGGTGCTGATTTTTTTTTTCACTAATGTGAAAAACAGGGAAATGATCTGAACCGTGGAATTCTGACTTTGACACTGCCTCACTGTGTGACTTCAGGCAATTAAGATTTTTGTGCTTTAGTTTACAAATCTATGAAGTAGGGATAAAAGTGCTTACCCAATTTACAAGGGGATGTGTATATCAATTAGTGTTTGTAAACAGCTTTCAGATACTCAGGTAAAGTTGCAAAACAGGGTTATTATCTTTAAAAATGGAAATTTTTTAGTGTTGGTGATCAGTACCAGATGAACAAAGACCTTGCTGAGATAGCACAGGCAGTAGCTGCACAATCTCCTTCCTTTCTGAAACAAAATACAGGACTATGTAGCACTTTAAAGACTAACAAGATGGTTTATTAGATGATGAGCTTTCGTGGGCCAGACCCACTTACTCAGATCAAATAGTGGAAGAAAATAGTCACAACCATATATACCAAAGGATACAATTTAAAAAAAATGAACACACATGAAAAGGACAAATCACATTACAGAACAGAAGGGGGATGTGGGGGGGCGAGGGAAGGAAGGTGAATGCCAGTGAGTTAATGATATTAGAGGTGGGGAAGGGGAAATGTCTGTGAGTTAATAGTAGGATGCAGGTTAGCAGGTCATTCAGACAGTGTCCTTTCTGGTTGAAATGACAAGCAACTGTTTTTTCTTTGTGATCCTGTCTAATGTCTGTTTTGTGGGCATTGATTCTTTGGCGAAGTGTCTGAGACGTTTGTCCAATGTACATAGCAGACGGACACTTTCGGCACATGATAGCATAGATTATATTTCTGGAGGCGCAGGAATATGTATTCTTGATCTTATAACTCACTTGGTTAGGCCCAATAATGGTGTCAGCAGAGTGAATATGTGGACAAAGCTGGCAGCGGGGTTTGTTGCAAGGGAATGACCTGCTAGCCTGCATCCTACTTCAGAAGACATTCAAATCTGCACTTGAAAGGGAATCCTCTGAACTGGCATTCATGCATGTGATTTGTCCTTTTCATATGTGTTCACTTTTTTTTTAATTGTATCCTTTGGTATATATGGTTGTGACTATTTTCTTTCACTATTTGATCTGAGGAAGTGGGTCTGGCCCACGAAAGCTCATCATCTAATAAACCATCTTGTTAGTCTTTAAAGTGCTACATAGTCCTGTATTTTGTTTCAGCTACACCAGACTAACACGGCTACATCTCTATCACTATCCTTCCTTTCTATCATTCTACAGAGGAGTCAGTCCTACTGAAAAGTGGTATGTCCAGAAATGAGGGTAAAACTTTCTATGGCTCATGAAATTCTTGGCTGCTCTGCTGAAACTACAAACAGTTAATTCTCTATAAGCTGACTCAGTGGACATTTTAGAGAGATGCCAGAAGCTGATACAGTTGAGGCAGGCCCAAAAGGCTACATTATCATAAAAAATAAGTTGTAGCTGTTTATTGTGAATGTACAATGTTCACACAACATATGCATGACTAAGATCAAAAAGCATTCCCCACTGGCTTCAATGAGTACAGTATACAATCAAAGCTATAAGACACTTTGCAATCCCTGATGTGCAAATAAAAGGCAAGATTCTGGTATTCCTGTGATTGCAGTAACTCGTTTTCCTGAATTACCAATTATTAAAAAATGTGATTTCACTGAGCAAATATAAACATGCTAAAGCTAAAGAACAGGCAGATAAGAAGTTCAACACATTTGAAACTATATTCTAATGAAAACAACCCAGAGTTACAGACTTATGATTAATACAATTCCATGTTTGGTGGCTCAAATAGCCTTTTTCTTCTATCAGAGAGAACTGAGAGCATCTACTGATCTCCTGAGTTGCCTTTTAGACAAGAAAGAAAGAAAGAAAGAAAGAAAGAAAGAAAGAAAGAAAGAAAGAAAGAATCACCAAGAGACATTAATTTAGTGTTAGTTTATCTAAAATTAACGATCAAACTTGATTCCAGGAGACCTTTGTGCTCAACTTGCCAAATGGCTTTTGCTAGCTTGAAGCTCTAGGGTTTCCAAGATGAAACAGATTAGGATTGACAAGCTCTGTTTATGTTAAAAAACCCAATAGGACATGAGTTTCTTAGATGGAAGACATACCATTTAATTTAATTTAATTTAATCCTGCTGTTTCACACATTTTACAGGACATGATTTCAAAAGGCCTTTTGTATTACCACTTGTTCAGACATTTTCCCTGAAAGTATTTATTTTGGAGGAGACTCATAATTAAAAGTTGTTTTATTTGTACAGTGGTCCTACTAATGGAAATGCACTTGGGTTACATTAATATTAAAGACAAAAAATGTTATGTTAAATTTGCACAGCTAATCACAAAGAGTTGGGAATGCAAACTTTATGATTCCAATATTAGGTCAAGCTGTGTTGCACAATTCATGTGGTTTGAGATAGCACCTATCCCCTTTAGCCTCTTATGAAAATCCCAGAATAATGTATTTATCTATATATTGACTGGAATAATAGGAACAGCACGTATATAACATGAGTAAAATAAAGTTTCTGTTTGGATTTTAAATTTTACTTTTCCTGCTTCTAGTAATTTAAGTGCAGCTTTCCAGCCAGATTGTGCTTAGCTCGTACTCAGGTGAACAAAAAGGATAAAAATACC